GATCTCATCAAGCTGCTGCTGCTGCTGCTGCTGCTGCTGCTGCTGCTGCTGCTGCTGCTGCTGCTGCTGCTGCTGCTGCTGCTGCTGCTGCTGCTGCTGCTGCTGCTGCTGCTGCTGCTGCTGCTGCTGCTGCTGCTGCTGCTCTCACTCTACTCCTGCACATCTTCTCCTCCTCTTCCTCATCTCTCCCTCCTTTACCGCTGCGATTCCCTGCGCGACAGCCTTTCCGTCCATATCCTTGGTGGCAAGACGATCAAACTGAGAAGGAAAGATCAGATGATCGAAACTTTGACAGACAGCAGAGGGACACGAGATCGAGACAACAGCAACAACAGGCAACATGACGACTCTGCTGTGTTGAGAAGAAAGATTTGTTATGTTGACATAGCAACTTTGCCATGACAGCTTTGTTGTGCCATCTGGTGAACGCCATGGATTGAACTTGCTATCAAACTTCCACATCTTCCACATCTCTCAAAGCAAAGATCTCATAACAAAGACATTCTTGAAAGAAACAACGACAACGACAACCACGACAACGACGACGACGACGAGAAGGAGGAGGACTAAACACCACCACAACCGCCATCATCATCATCGTCATCATCATCATCATCATCATCATCATCATCATCATCAACAACAACAACAACAACAACTCCACCATCATCATCTCACTGGAATCTTCACGCTGGAGCGGACGAGACGTCGATCGGCCAAGTTTGACAAGATCCGAAGTCCAACCTGACAAGAATCCTCCTCTCAGTCTTGTGCCCCGCAAGCAAGACAGGCTCACCTTCCCTCCTGTGATCTTCTCCACCTCCTCCGTGAGATGCTCGGCGGTCGTGTTGACAATGTTTGCACCCATAGCGTCTCTATTTCAAGGTGAGATGGGATCGGGAGGTAGGAGGAGAGCGAGGAAGCGAGGGAGGAGAGGTAGGAAGAGAGGGAGGAGCAGGAGGAGGAGGAGGAGGAGGAGGAGGAGGAGGAGGAGGAGGAGAGTAAGCTGGAGAGAGAGAAAGGGGCGGGATGAAGAGAGGGAAGGGAAGGAGGAAGGGAGCGAGTGTGGGAGGAAGGGAGGGGGCAGAAGGTATAGAGACTAGGCATAGATCCTACCTGCAGTCAAGGAAGAAGTTGAAGACAAGGTTCGTCTCCGCCTTCTCCCCCGGCTCGTCATACACAATCCTCTTCACCTACCACTTCCTCGTTCAGACAGGGAGGACAGGAAGTCAGGACCCTTTGTACCTCCATGCCCCTGATGCCTCCTCCCCTCTGCAGCAGACGGGGATGGAGCTCGTTGGCCATGGCGGTGAGCTTGTCGAAGTTGGCTCTCAGCGCACTTGCTGCTCCATCCAACTTGCCCTCCTCGATGTTGAGCACCTGTCCCATCACTGTCACCCCCAACAAAGGCCTCCCTTCCTCCCATACGTTCATCTGCCCTATCATGACCGGATCGTCCGACTCAGCAACGAACCCCTCAGGCCTCGCCATCCTCGACACGTTGCTCACTGCTGCGACAACTGATGGCTCCTCCAGCACCATAGGAACGACGTAGCTGCAGCAGGCATGTTACCCGACCACAACCTGCATCCCTACCCTCTCACTCTCTGCCGTTGACAATCATGTTCAGAGCGACGCCCATGGGCACCTTGAAGGTCCCCAGGACGTTCTCGATCATCTGATCTGCCTGTTTCAGCTCCAGTCCCTCTCCCTCCAGCGCTTTCAGTGCCTCCTGGCTCACGAACCCTGCCTCTTGTAGCGCCGCCAGGCGCTGGGACACTGTCAGAGCATGGAACTTGGAGATCCTGGAGCTCCTGGGGCTGGAGCTGTTCTTGTCAGCAGTGGAGGAGAAGCATCGGAGAGTATGCGCCATCGCCTCTCCTCTCATCGCCTCTCCTCTCATCTTCGCCACGCCCCTCAGGGCACTCCCGCATCCCGCCATGGCGCGCATCGCTTATGTCTACTACCCCACCCCTCTTTCGGTATAAGGATCAAACTTCCAATTCCAGGTAGGGTGGTAGTGAAAAAGACAGTGAATTTTGAATTAAGATCAAATTTACTGCCCAATGATAGAGACAAGATGCGGCTACTGAAGAAGCCACTGGGGAAGCGAAGAAGGGGAAGGGGAGAGAGCGAGAGGAGGAGGAGAGGAGGAGGAGGAGAGGAGAGGAGAGGTGGAGGAGAGAAGAGGAGGAGAGAAGAGGAGAAGAGGAGGAGAAGAGGAGGAGAAAAGGAGAGGAGAGGACGAGGAGAGGACGAGGAGAGGACGAGGAGAGGAGCAGGAGGAGAAGAGGAGCAGACGAGCAGCGTGAGTCAATGAAAGGCGATCATGAAAGATAAGAGCAGATATCTTAGACACTTGAATATGTGTAGGACTAATCTGAATAAAAAAGACATCAAGGGTGCAGATATCGATATGACATTTGAGGAAGGTTTGATCCTGAGAAAGTCATATATGCTTGTTGTGTATGAGCTCGTTTTCAATTAGACGAACAATGAGGAAACGAAAGGAAGGAGGGTAGGAAAGAACTGTCCTACGAGGAATCTGACGCTCATGGTAGGTTCGAAGGATGCTCGTCCTACGAAACTTCATGAGATCGAGAGTTTCACTAGACGCTCTATGTTTCTCATGCCTGCTCCTGGTACCTTGAACCATGTTCTCTGAGCTGTTGAGCTGACAGTGATGGTGATGGTGATGGTGATGGTGATGGTGATGGTGATGGTGATGGTGATGGTGATGGTGATGGTGATGATTAAAACAATGATACTGCTCATTTTGATACTAGAAGGAGATGGAGGTGGAAGTGGAAGTGGAAGTGATGCTGCTGCTGTTGCTTCTCCTGCTGCTGCTGCTGTTTTTTCTTCTCCTTCTGCTGCTGCTGCTGCTGCTGCTGCTGATGATGATGATGATGATGATGATGATGATGATGATGATGACGATGACGATGATGATGACGATGACGATGACTATGGTGGTGGCGGTGGTGATGATGAAAGAGATGACGATGCTTCAGTTTGCTACAATGCTGCAAGAGTGCACCTCTTTTTCTTGCAATAAACTTGCAACGCTGAACAATCGGCTGGCGCAACGAAGCTGCAGAGTTTCATGTAGTTCATCTTGAGACACTCTTGTGCGGACAACTGATGGCGGTTGGCTGTAGATGGAAACAGAGCAAGATCATCTTGTATCTTGTATGCAAAGAAAGGAAAGCGAGAGAGCAGTGGAGGGAATGGATTTTCTGCATCAAGAGACAAGAACAAGGTATTAGAGGGAATATTCTTGCTGTTTTCTCAATAATCTGCACGCCAGCGGTCAAGGCACGATGACGATGACTCAGTTTCGTTCAACTTCGGTCTGAGATGATGAGTATCGGCTGTTGTTTGTTGTGACGCAAAGGACAGATGGTGTCGACGCGAGTGAACTTATGAAGATGCTAGAGAAGGGTTGATAAGCGTACGAGCAGATGAGTTTGCTCTTACATGCCTCAGGTTCTCCTGAGGAAATTGAAGCATTGTTGTCATCTTCAGGGCTGAACATCGAAGTTTGATCTCAATGCTGATGATTGTGATGTTGCAGCTTACAAGCCCATAGGTGATAGATGAGACGGTAGACGGGGAGGATTTCTACGGTGATGGTGGCGAAGAGAACTTGAAAGAGAGAGCAGCGGAAGAAGAAGTAATTGTTGTCAAGAAGTGAGATGGATTTGATGACTGCTTCTTTTGTTCTGTCCAGGAAATGTGCAAAGATTGCAAGATTTTTCCTTCTCCTCAACATGTTTGCTCATGTTCTTTCTGACGACATGTTGTCAAGAGGATATTCGTGCAGATCGCGGATACGGACGAGCATGTCAAACGTGTCAAGATGGACGGTTTCTCTATGCTGCACAGCGGGCTTTCCCCTGCCCTTGCCGCTGAACTTCGTCGAGAGATTCTGGCATATCGAGACAAGCTGCTGGTTGTTGTTGCAGCATGCCATGATGCTTTCTTTCCTTGTTATGTGATGAAAACATGTCTGATGTAGTCCCCTCTTGAGATGTTTGATACCTTATGTCTTCACTTTTGATCTTGTCGTTTGTTACAACCCCCTCCCGGTGATAATCTATACAAGCTCTGGAAGTTGATTGAGTATTTTGTAATTTCTCCACATGTTTCCGTTTTTGCTTGTTCCTTTCATAATGTGATGAAGAGTTCTTGATGATATTGTTCTGCTTTCCAATCTGTGACACACAGCTTGACATGTAGGAGGAACAGACAGAGAACGACGATGAGAGGTTCTTCACAAAGGTATGTACAACTCAGAGAAAACTAGGATGATGGAGATGATGGTGAAGATCATGTACATGGAGGATAGAAATGAAGATGGTGTTTGTGGTATTTGTGGTGATGGTGATGATTGTTCTGTTGATTATTTTGACAGTCCTTGAGATGTTTGATATCGTCTTACAGGTCCTCGCGCCGACAGGACAAGCTGGACGACTTTCAAGGTTAACAAAATCAGCCAGACCCCATGAAAACCAAAGATATCAGAAGTGTTTCTTCAGTTTCACGCTCTGCTCTGCTCTGCTCTGCTCTGCTCTGCTCTGCTCTGCTCTGCTCTGCTCTGCTCTGCTCTACTCTGCTCTGCTCTGCTCTCCTGCGTTTTCCTCCTCTCATT